TCCTCATCGTCCTCCTCATCGTCCTCCTCATCCTCCGCCTCCTTCCCCCCTCCAACTTGTGGTGGTGGTGGTGGAAAACAGGCCAGCCAACCCGCAGAATGAGGACGCACGATGAGTTGGGCGCCCGAGTTATCCGTGATAACCACGGTCCGGGGTAACTCCACTTTGGGCGCCCGGGGCGCGAAGCTGCAGTTACCCCTGACTGCCCCCAGCCCTGATGATTCTGGAAGGTTGGGAGCCCGCATTATCCGGGATAACTGCGGTCCGGGGTAACTCGAGTTTGGGCCCCCGGGGCGCGAATCTGTAGATATCCCTGACTGCCCCCAGCCCTGATGATTCGGGGCTCTAAATGAGGATGCAAGGGCCTTGGAAGGCCATGTGGACACTTTGCGGGCGGGGCGCGGCCAGCGAACGCGGCCAATGACGGGCCGATGGGGAAGGATGCGAGGGCAACCTTGGAAAGCTGCTTCCCCTTCCCATGTAGGATGCAAATTGGGTTTACGGCAATTTCGTGTCGTGACGACCCCGGCGGTGGTCTCTGACACCGCGTGGATCGTTCAATGATGAACGATCGGCGGCTCTTCGATCACCAGATCGTTCCACATTGGCCGATTCTGGGCTACTGGTGGCGCTCAACCTGGAACGCCCGCAGCGGGACCGCTGCTGCGCCAGCACGGCACGAGCTTGCCGTATCCAGGAGGGCGTTCCAATCGTCCAAGCCTTCGACGAGGCTCCCTTGCGATTGCGCGTATTGAGGAACAACAAACGGCATAAACATAAACTTTCGACGGTCCGCGCGGATTTCTTGGATCTGAACTGGACCCCCCTCCCTGGAGCGCGGAGCGCGTCAAGGGCGGCGCCGGAGGCGCCACCAAGGGGGCCGAACGCAAATCTAAGACATCCGCGCAGGCGGCCAACAGTTTATGTTAGTGCCTTTTTTTTGGGGGGGGGTCCTACCTACAGTCAACGCACAGGACGCGCGCCTTTTCCAGGGTACCATCGTGTCCTTGCCTCTGCGGCCCGTCCTTTGACGTTCCCACTGGCCAGCCTCTCAAGGTACACTGGGGTTTCGGTCGCCCGCCGCCTAACAAATCCCAACTTCGGCCTCAAAGGTTCTCAAGGGAAGAAATACCGGCATAGACATAACCTTTTGATGGCCCGCGCCGAGCACCAACAATTTGTTCATGGCATTTTTTCTTCTTCGACTCTTGCGTCCTTGCCATTAGTCTTAGGTCGGGCATGTCCTCCCACAGGCGGATTTTGGAGGACACTATTCACATAAACAAACATAGTCAAACATTGTAGAAACATCGTCTCCATACAAATTTTTACTATTGATGAATACGGTGGGGGCATTGGATAAGAAATCCTTAGATAAGGAATCCAGGGCCTGGAGGCCGGTGGAACTCCAATCGAGGCTTGGCCATGGATATCACCGCCGCCCTCATCAGATACGGAATCCTCCAGGGCCTGCAGCATCCTGGGCGCATTTCTGAACCAACGCTCCCACTTTTTTCCCCCTGTAGAGGGACATGCCCGACGTAACACCAGCCGCTATTACACGTTTTCGCTGTGTCGTTCCCGAACAAACAGCTTCCCAACCTCCTTCTTACCTGGGCTCATCCACCCCCCACCCCGCCTTGTTTTTTTTTGCCGCCGCCAAGAGCGGCGAGTGCGCTCGACGCGGCGGAGATGGCACTAGCTCTCCACGCTGCTTACGCGGGCGCACGCTGCCAGGGGCAACCCTGGCCCTGGGGCGCCCTCCCTGGCCTTTCAGAGTCCCTCGGAGAGGACTCCTCCTCCTCCCTCCCTCCTCTCCTCCTCTTCCGCCTTCCTCCTCCTCCTCCCTCCCTCCCTACCCCTCTTCCCTCCCTCCCATCTCCCACTCCCTCTCCCTCCCCTCCCCCTCCCTCTCTCCTATCCCTCTCCCTCTCCCTCCTCCCTCTCCCTCTCCCTCTCCCTCTCCCTACTACCTCCCACCTCCCTCCCTCCCTCCCTCTCCCTCCCTCCCTCCCCCCTACCCTCCCTCTCCTCCCTTCCTCCCTCCCTCCCTCCTCCCCCCCTCCCCTCCCTCCCCTCCTCCCCCCCTCCCATCCCTCCCCTCCCCCTCCCCCTCCCCCTCCCCCCTACCCCTGCCCCCTCCTCCCCTCCTCCATCCTCCTCATCCTCCTCCTCCTCCTCCTCCTCCTCCTCCTCCCGCGGCCACCAGGGGCCCAGGGGGCCCCAGGGGGCCCCTGGAGGTGGACGAGCCCAGACCCCCGACGCCATGATTTGTTCAGAACGTCGACCCCCCGAGAGCTCGACCCCTTCCCTGGGATACTGCTGCTCCTCCTGAGCCGTTTTCTGCTGACGGGCCCGAGGTCTGGCCAGGCCCCCAGAGGCCGAACACAGTGCCCCCAGGGGGGTCTGGGCGGCTCACCAGCGGAGGGCTCGACTTTGTAAACGGGGCGGGGAGGGGGCCGGGAGCCAGCGGCGGGCAGGCGAGCTCGGGGCAGGCAGGGCGGTGGTGGCCCCAGGCAGCGGCAGCGCGCGGTACCCCTCCACCAGGGGCTCCGCAGCGGAGCTAACCCAGACCCCCTCGAGCAACGAAACTAACAAGAAGGACGTTTTTCGCTATTTTCGGCCTCTGGGGGCCCCTATAGGGCCTTGGGACCGCTAACAACGACTCAGGATGACAAGCCGATCCCGGGGGACTGGGTCGAGACCTCGGGGGGTCGACGTTGCGACAAAAATCATGACGTCGGGGGCCTGGGAAAAGCCGGGGCCCCTTGGGCCGGGGACACCGTTGGCAGCCCCCGATCAGTCTCTGGGCGAGGTGCTCGATGAAGTTCTGGTTCTCCCACCTGTCTGCCTCCCAGTCGTCGCGCGCCCTGGCCACCTCCTCGCGGGGGCCCAGGCCGAGACCAGGAGCACTGCCTCCCTTCCCGCCTCCTCCCCCGCCCCCTCCCACTCCCCCTCCCCCCTCCTCCTCCCCCTCCCCCTCCACCTCCGCCTCCGCCTCCCCCTCTCCCTCCCCCTCCTCCCCCTCCCCCGCCTCCTCCCCCCCCCCTCCTTCCCAATGCCGCCGCTTCAAGCCTCGCCCGCTCGACGCGATCGAGCGCGGAGAGAACGGGAGCGTGGGGCCCCCCCCCTGGTCAGGACAGGGGCCTTGCACTCTCGACCCCGACGGGGCGCTCGGGAGCGCACGACCGCTCGAGAGCGCACACGTTGCGGGGTTCTGGAGCCCTCTCCTTCGCCTCTTCCTCCTCCTCATCTCCTTCTTCTTCCATCCTCTCCTCTTCCTCCCTCTCCTCCTCCTTCTCCTCTCCTCCTCCCTCTCATCCTCTTCCTCCATCCTCCTCCTCCCTCTCCCTCCTCCTCCTCCTCCTCCTCCTCCTCCTCCTCGTCCTCATCCTCCATCCTCCATCCTCCATCTTCCATCCTCCATCCTCCTCCTCCTCCTCCTCGTTCTCCTCGTTCTCCTCTTCCTCCTCCTCCTGCTCCTCCTCCTCCTCCTCCTCCGACCCAAGTAACAACGTCTAAAAAGGCAGCCGTCTGTTCCCCCCCGCCAAGAGAGAGCTCCGCAGTGCCCCCTCGCGCGCCTGTGAGGCGGGAAGGGTGGCCACCACCGCGGCGCCGCACGATCGGTACCGCGGCAGCAGCAGGGGAGCCTCGCCTCCTCAGCACGTGGGAGTGGCCATCTGCCTGTCACCTGGCAGACCGCCCACATGCGGCAGTTCACTGCCTCGCCGCTCCTCGCGTGCAAAACTCCTGCATCTCTGGTTCGAGCTCGCCGAAGGTCAGGCTCGGGTCCAGGTTGGGCCTGCCCGCAAAAAAGCACCAGATCGTGCTCTCGCGGGGCAGGCCGCACCGCCTCCCCACCTGCCCACCTGCACCTCCGAAACGACTTCTCCTGCTCCTCCGCCGAGTCTGCCACGGCCGGGACGTCGCCAGCCAAACACTCCGTGTCTGTGATGTCCCTGACCTGCTCCCCCCCTCCTGCTGGCCTTGAGCTGCACCGCGCGCTACCACCACGAGGGCACAGGCGACCGCGCCTTTCGCCTCCCTCAACACCACCGCTGCGTGCGCAACTGGCAGGTCCAGCAGACGGGCCCGTGCCCATGGTGGCCTGCTCCACCATCGCGGCCGCCGAACCGCGTCTCCCACCCTGGCTGGGCGAGACACAGCGCCCAGCTCAGGCCAGGTCCGCGCCGGCACCCCAGGACAGCGTGCGCCCACTCCTTCTGCGTGCCCTTGAGGGTGGCCCCAGCAAGCACCGCGCCTCCGAACAGTGCGCCCGGCCCCACTCGGAACGGGACCTGCGCCAGGCTGGCTCGGGGATGGGGTACCAGCCTGCCGCCGCCACTCTGTGCAGCTCCTCGAGCATGCGTCTGCCCTCGACTGGGGGTGTCGGCGACAGACGGCCAGAAGGACAAGTCGGCGTCCACGGTGATGCCCATGATCTTCTATGCTTGCACCACATCGAGCCCCATCCCTTCCTCTTCAAACAGCGGCCCGCCCCGCAACCGAAGGCTGCCGTTGCCCGCTACGCGTGGCGAACAGAGGCCGAGCGGAGCGACTGATCGAGGATCGCCGTTGCGGCGCCCACAGACGGGCGCGGGGTGGCCCAGCCGTCGATGTGCTGAACGGCGAACAACCTTAGCGCATCCCCTCCACTCTCGCGGGGGGGGGGGCGGGGCGAGGGTGGATGAGGAGGGGGGGCGGAGGGACGCAGAGAGGAGGAACAAGGAAGAAGACCATGAAGAGGAAATGGAGGACTAGGCTGGGGAGAAGGAAAAACGATGGGGGAGAATGGGGTATCACTGCGGGAGGAGGAGGGGGATGAGAAGGAGAAGGAATACGATAGTGGTGGTGCTAATAAGGATTAGGGGGTCGGGAGGGTGATGGTGGCGGTGGCGATGCGCAGGGCGGGGTCGGCAAGGACGGGGGGGGGGCACGGGGGCAACAGCTGCGGCATTTGGGAGCGTCCCCGCCCCCCGCGCCCCCTGGCTCCTGCATCCGCTCGGCGAGCTCGGCGCCGATCCACCCGCGCAGGGATTCCTCGAGGGAAGGGAAGGAGGAGCGGAGGAGGGGCGGATGAGAGGGGGAGGCGTAAAAGAGAACAGGGGGAAGGGCATCAGGAGGAAGAGGAGGAGGCGAAGGAGAAGCATCAACACTGGGAAGATGATGATCGGGAGGAGAAGAAGCATGAGCGGGATGAACAGACGCGGAATGAAGATGCTGCTGCTGCTGCTGCTGCCAATGCCGGTTATGGTCATGCTGCCGACGAGGGTGGATGCGATGATGATGATGATGCTGCTGATGCTGGTGATGCTGACGATGCGGATGGTCATGCTGATGGTGATGCTGATGATAGATGCTGATGATGACGACGCTGCTTGCAACTCAGCAGAGGATGATCAACCATTGAAATCATATCACAAAGACTGCCTATCAGTGCGCCGCGTGCTCCGTGTGCTCTCGCCCGGCGTCGGCAGCTGTCTCGGCGATCGCGCGCACCAGCGCCACGCCGATTTCGGCGCGCCAGCGCCGAAGGCAGCGCGCCAAAGGCCCGCCGCCGCGCGTTGCCCGCTGCAGAGCCAGCTTCCCGAGGACTGCGAGGGCGTGCCGCCCAAGGCGGCCGAAAGCCTCCACGCCAAAGGGGGAGACTGTGACTCCTCCCTGGCCCTCGCCATACCTCTTGAATTTGGTCTGCTCCGCGGCCTGCACAGCGTGAGCGTCTTCTTGGGCCGCCTGGCGCCGCCCCTCCTGCCGAAAAAGGGTGCGCCACTGTGACGTCGACCCAGGCCTCGTACAGGTCCGGCACATGCCCCCAGAGATGGACGTCCAGGCGGGCCTCCACTGCAGCTTCAGTGCCCGGCTCGCCCGGCAGGAGCGGCGGGCAGACCGCCTCCGCCTCCGCCTCGACACCGCTTTGCGCCCCGAAGCGGCGGAGGCAGGCGGCGACAGCATTGTGCACCCTGTAGCGGCCCCGGCCGACACTGCAGAGCTGCGCATGGTCTCCAAATCGATCGCACTGCTTGCCGCACCGCGTGGCCTTGTCGCGCTTCTGGCTGGGCCTGTGCTGGCAAGCGGTCTCGCGCATGACAGGCAATCCGAGCCGCCACCGCACTCCGTACCGGAACTCCTCGTCCTTCAGCTGGAGTGCGCGGTCGCTCGGGCATTGGTCTACCCAGTCGTGCGCCCCTGCGCCCGCGGTCGACCGCAGGCGCACGCAATGCCGCAAGTGCGCGGCTGTCTTGCTCTTGAGGCGCTCGCTCCTGGCTCTGCTGCTGATGCTGCTGCTGCTGCTGATGATGATGATGATTATGATGGTAAGGATGATGCTGCCGATGATGATGATGATGATGATGATGATGATGATGATGATGATGATGATGATGATGATGATGATGATGATGATGATGCTGCTGCTGACGGTGATGCTGCTGATGATGATGACGTTGACGGTGATGACGATGATGATGCTGATGATGATGACGCTGATAATGACGATGATGACGATGCTGATACTGATGATGCCGATGACGACGATTACGACGATGATGCTGCTGCCGAGGATGATGGTGATGATGCCGATGATGATGACTATGTTTATGATGGTGATGGTGATGGTAATGTGGCTGCTCATGATGATGACGGTGCTGACAACGATGATGCTGATGATGATGCAGGTGCGGCTGCTGCTGTTGGCGATGGCGATGCTGATGATGATCATGATGATGTTGATTGTGATGATGCTGCTGATGATGATGCTGATGATGAGTGCGAAGACGAGGATCAGCAGCAATGATGATGAGAGGGATGAGGATGGGTGGGGGAATGCAATGGGATGTACGAGGGAGATGAGGAAGGGAATGTGGGATGTGGGGAAGGTGGATGCGGAGCACCAGGACGATGGAAAGGAAGGATGATGCTGCTGCTGATGGTGCTGATGCTGATGATGCTGCTGCTGCTGATGATGATGATGCTGCTGCTGCTGCTGATGATGATGATGATGATGATGATGATGATGATGATGATGATGATGATGATGGTGATGCTGATTTATGGTGGTGGTGCTGCTGATGATGAGGATTATGATAAGGATACGTGATGAGGAGGAGTAGGAGGAGAAGGAGGAGGAGGAGACACACATGGGGAAGAAGCATGAACAACATCAGCAACATAAGCAGGAAGAGCAGGATTTTGGGGAGGAGAAGGAGCAGCAACAACAAACACAGGATGATAACCAGGGGCTTGAGGAGGGATATGAGTGGTAGGGGGATGAGGATCAGGAGCAGGAGTGTCAGGGGCACGGGGAGGTATACGAGTAGTAGAGAGACGAGGAGCAGGAGCAGGAGTGGAAAAAAAGGGAGGTGATGAAGTGGGGATGAGGACGAGGACGGGGATGACTAGCAGAGAAAAGCGGTAGAAGCTTCTACCACTTCCCCCTGCTCCTCCTCCTCCTCGTCCTCGTCGTCGTCCTCCTCCTCCTCCTCCTCTTCCTCCTCCTCTCTCCTCTCCTCTCCTCCTCCCTCCTCCCTCCTCCCTCCTCCTTCCTCCTCCTCCTCCTCCTCCCTCCTCCTCGCCCTCCTCCTCCTCCTCCTCCTCCTCCTCCTCCTCCTCCTCCTCCTCCTCCCCCTCCTCCTCCCCCCTTCTCTCCCTCCCCGCCGAGTGGGGGGGGGCCCGTGGTGCGCAATCCTCGAAGCTCTGCTGCCGCTCGGCCACCTGCGCGCCGGATATCCCCAGATACCGCGCTGGCCTCTCTCCCGCCTTCCCTTGGGCGCTCCGTCCCCTCATGGGGGGAGATTGGGGAGGGGGAGAAGGGGGGCGAGGATGAGAAAGGGGGGTGGATGGAAAAGAGGGGGAGGGGTGTCAGGAGACCGAAGAAGGGGGGAAGGAGGGGGTGAGCAGGGAAGGGTAAAAAGGAGGAGCAGAGGGAGGATGGCGATAACGAGGATGAGGAGGAAGGGGAAGGAGGAAGAACTTGAGGAAAATGAAGAGCTTTGCTGGGTGTATACCGTCTTTGTCTTCTCAAAGTCCCGCCTGCGCGTCCACGGGCCCGCGTGGGGCAACTCTGCCGCCGGCGGTTCTGTCGGGGGACGAAAGAGGAGGAACATGAGGAGAGAACGGCGGAGGAGGAAGCAATCAAGCAAGCAAGCAACAAATCATACACCCAGAGGTGCGTAGGACACTGGATGGGACAAGTTGCAGGTTAGATGTTACAGTCGGGCTACGTTGCGCTATGCTGACAATTTAGCTGTGGGGTCAAATTGGCTATGCCGCCTGCCGCTTTGCAAGCGACGCGTAGCACCTGGGACGTCCAGTCCGCGCGCGGCCTGCCAATCTTCTTCACATACCTGTCTGCAACTGGCAGGAAAAATCCGGGGCAGAAAATGACCTTTCCTAAGGGGCTCCCTTCCGGTGACCCGGAAGATTTTCCTAGCAAGAGGAACTGCTGTCGAGCTGCAGTCTCTGACAATAGGGATTCCCCGGTCGTGTCCAAAACAATTGCGTTGCTCACTCTTGAAATATAAGCTGGCGCGATCCCCCAGATCGCGCGGACACGCTGGCAATGAAAACCGTCCAGACGTCTCCTGCCGGCGGCTTTCAACCACAATGTAAACCTCGATTTTTCTACGGCGGTTGAAATTTGAATGTCGCCATATTCTGGAAAACTTGTCGAAATCAGCCCGTGCTGCGCCAAGACGCCTGGAGAGTTCTTTGCTCGCGCCCCCCGCCCCAAACATCAAAACTTCCAAATAAATAGTGTCTTCCTGCGCCGGTATGATCACACCTTGTGTGTCTTGAATATTCTAAACGCACCTGACTTGGAGTAGTTGGAACTTGTCAGGGTGCAACTCCATACCGTCACATATTCCAGCGTTCAGTATAGCGGCAAATAATTGTTCTACACCCCCTTTGGTCCTTCCCGGAATCAAAGTGTCGTCCGCGTGCAGCAAGACTGACAATGACCCTCGTTACCATAATTTGCGGTGCTCTTCGGAAAGTTGCGCGGCGGCGTCTCTGATTATGAGGGTCATTGTCATGACGAACAGGAGCGTCGACAAGGGGCATCCTTGTGATATCCTGGACAACTGTGGCCTCGACGACGAAGTCACTCCGCAATCTCGTACCTCGAGAAGCCGATCTGTGTATATTGCGCTCGCGACTTCCACCACGTGCTCAGGCAAGCCGAAACGCCGAAGGCCTCGCAACATAGCTGAAGGGCTATGGAGTTACATGCCCGTTTCCAATCCAAAGCCAATGCAAACAAACTACCCCTCAATGTTCCCAACTCCAGATCGATACGCCTACGGAATGCAAAAATAGCTTATTGTGCCCCGCGCTTTGATCTGAAACCGAATCGAGACCCCGTCAGCCTGGACTCCGCCCCTGCATCCACCAGGCGCCGGTGCAAGAATGATGCAACAACTTTGTACTCAATAACAAGCAAGCTGATTGGCCGGTAGTTTGCACAATCGTCTGTTCTTTGTTTTTTGTGTAAAGATGCTACCCTCGCTTTGTGCCATCCGTGATGCGCTGCAGGGCTTCGGAACTTTCCTCGAGTACCTTCCAATATTGTGGCGGCGTGCCGTCCGACCCAGGAGCTTTGCCATCGTGCAACTTCCGCGAACAAGCTTTGACTTCGTCCTTCGTGAAATTGGTCAGCTTGACTGGCAGCGTGTCTCCAAGAACCGGCTCGTCAATTACAGTGGCTGGTCGCACGCCCCATGGTACTCGAGGTGCGTTGCCATAGTGTCCGCCCGGCCTTCACTGCACGCGAGCTCTCCTTGCAAATTCCGCAGCCGGCCCTGCTTAGCTAGTTGTGGCTTCCGAGTGTTCCGGATATCTTTCGAGGCCCCCGTCGCCGCGGAGTCCTCCAAGCACTTCGCCTTATCCTGCCGCGCTGCCTTCCGCGCGGCTTTGTGCTTTTCCTTCTCGACCTTGGCGTTCCCATCGACTCTGGCTTGCGATCTTTCCTTGATAAGCTGCACGGTTCGGTCGCTGATCCAAGGTCGCCTGGGCTTGGGCGGTTCATCTGGTAAGCCCTCGGCGGCAGCCCCCATTGCTCTTGAGATGTCTTTTCACGCGTCCTCAACTAAATCTGTGGCGTCCTGGGTTTGGTGCAACTTGTCAAAAACAGCCGTAACAAATTGCTGTCTCGTGCCAGGGCTCTGCAAACTGCTTCGTTGTTTTTTCCTCTATTCTGTCGGCGTGGTTGAAATACGTCTATGCTGATGTCGAGCTCGCAGCGTACCAAGAAATGCCGTGTAGCCAATGCTACTTCTCGCCGGCTCGTAACAGACAGCGCTCGGTCGGCATTCGCGCTCGGTGCGAGGAACCAATCAAGCAAGGCGAATTTGTTCGACTGGATGTCATTGGGCTGGGTGCCTGGCTCCATGTAGGTAAACAGTTGCTCTTCTGGAACGTCTTGAAACGTGTTGTTGATGCTGTGCTGCTGTACTGTGCAGAACTCCATCAATAAATCGCGGTTCGGGCACTCCACCTTATGCACTGCTTCGGATACGAACGCATGCAATCCAATTACGTGCTCTTCGCCACATCGTTGCTGACCAAACCGTGCGTTAAAGTCTCTACAAATAAATTTGAATCCGGTCACATTTACATTTTTTCAACCTTCTCCATATGAAGATAACATTGTAATCTTTCTGGCAATGGTCCGAGGTTGTGCGGGGCGTATCCGGTGAAGAGCATGCTCGAGCATGCTCTTCTCGAGCATGCTCGAGCAAGACCTGTTCTTTGGTCGCGGTCTGAGCGAAATCGAATAGTGCCGTCGTGAATTGCTCGAGCGACTCCTTATCCGTGATCGCGGAAATCGCGACATCCGAAAGCGCCAGCGTGTAATTCTCGAGCGCGTCCTGATTTGTGATCGCGGACATCGTGAAATCCAAATGCACAAGAGCGAAGTTCTCGAGCACGTTCTGGCATGCGATCACGAGCACAGCGAAATCCAGGAGCTCCAACGTGAAATCCTCGACCACGTCCTGTTTTGTGAACGCGAACGCCGTGGGCTCCAAGAGCAGCAGCTTAAACATGTCGAGCATGTCCAGGTCTGTGATCACGGACACCGTGACACCCAAGAACGCCATCGTGAAATTCTCGGGCACGGCCTGGTCTGTGATCGCGGACGTCGGGAAATCCAAGAGGACCAGCGCGAAATGATCCAGCGCGTCCTGATCTGTGATCGCGGGCGACGAGGGATCCAAGAGCACCAGCGAAATTCTCGAGCACGTCCTGAACTGTGATCGCGAACGTCGTGAATTCCAAGGGCGCCAGAGTGAAATTCTTGAGCACATCCTGATCTGCGACCTCGGACAGCGTGAAACAGACGTGCACACCAGCGTGAAATTCTCGAGCGCGTCCTGGTCTGTGATCGCGGACGGCGTAACATGCTCCAGCGCGTCCTGATCCATGATCTCGGTCAGCGTAAAGCAAAGAGCACCAGCGTGAAATTTCCGAGCACGCCCTGATTTGTGATCGCAGACGCCGTGATCACCTCGAGCACCAGCGTGGCATGTTCCAGAACGTCCTGACCTGTGATTGCGAGCATATACAAATGGGTGCTGCGACGTGAGCGGCCGTGTTTCTCCCACGAGGCTAACTCATCATCATGTGAAACTGTTGACCCGTCCGGTTGTCCCGCATGCTCTCGCAAGAGTGACCGCTGCCACGCTGCTGGAAGGGCTTGAGCAACACGGCAGCGCTGCTGAGGATGATGACGATGATGATGAGGCTGGCGATGACGGTGATGATGGCAACGACGGTGACGATAATTATGATCATGATGACGATGCTAATGCTGCTGATGTTGATGCTGATGCTGGTGATGCTGATGATTGAGACGATGACGATGCCGAAGACGATTATGAAGATACTGCTGGTCATGATGATGGCGATGTTGATGATGACGATGACGATGACGATGATGATGGCTGACTATGACGATGGTAATGGTGATGCTGATGGTGATGATGACGATGACGATGGTGCTGGTGATTCTGATGCACACGATGAAGATGACCATGATTCTGGCGCTGATGATGACGATGTTGATGATGGTGGGCGTAATGATGACGATGACGATGACGATGCTGATGATGGTGATGATGATTCTGATGACGAGGATGATTATGCTGCTGCTGCTGATGATGATGATGCGGGTGACAGTGATGATGACCATGACGATGCTGATGCGGATGATGATGGTGATGGTCATGTTGATGGTGCTAATGATGCTGATGATGGTGATGATGATGGGGACGATATTGATGAATATGGCGATGAATAATAATATGGCGATATGACGATAATGCTACTGATGGTGATGACGTTGGTGCTGCTGCTGATGATAACGATGATGATGATATTGATGATTCTGAAGATGACTATTTTTTTCCTCGGCATCAGGACCAACAAAAAAAAAGCCTTCGGCATGAGTTCGGATAATATGGTCCGCCGCAGAGAGCTGTTTTCTCTCCTGAGTGCCCACGCGGGGGCTGAGCGCAACGGGGTGCTGGCGCAGAGAGCCAGCGATGCCCGACGTGCTATGGGATAGGATCGTGAGGGGCGGAGGAAAGCCTGAGCTCGAGAGCGCTAGCACCGATAACCAAGTGCCTATTACAGCATGCCATAATCTGAATGAGTTCGGCGTCGCGCAAAAATGCAAGGGGCTCACATCCCTCGTTTGAGGCGGCTCTGTTGTTCTCCGTGGTCGTGGACCGAGTCAGCTGGCCGTGCGACGGGCCTGGAGCCCTCGAAATCGAGCGAGAGCAGTCCAGCATCCGAATGTGCTCTTTAGCCATGTCGTTCATCGCCATCAAGAGCGACTGATCCCAGAGAGTATGTGTGTTGGTGTCGTCGTACGCGTGCTCCACGGCCGAGCTGATGATCTCCTGGGTGGTGCGGGTTAGATCGTGCATGTCGGCGGCGAGGGCCTGGTCGAAGGCGTCGAGGACGACGTTGGGAATGATGTGGTGGCGAGTCCGCTCCTCGGCGTACGTCCAATCACCAGATTCCAGGTCCACCAGGCTAGAGTTGGGATCGTCGCCATGTCGATTATCCTGCGCCCCTTCATGTAGTTGAGTGTCGTCCTCTTCACCCTCGGTGTCCGCATCTTCGTGATCAGCATCCCGATTATCAAACTCCTCGTCCACCAAACTTGAGTGAGGATCAGCACCACCTCCCGAGCCACCTTCTTCACGTAGTGCTGACTGATGATGGTTGCCGTTGCTGTCGTCGTACGCGTGCTCCACGGCCGAGCAGATCTCCTCGGTGGCGGTGGTGCGGGTTAGATCGGTCGTGTCGGCGGCGAGGGCCTGGTCGAAGGCGTCGAAGACGACGTTGGGACGGATGTGGTGGTCGTCACCAGGTCGATGATCCTGCGCCCCTTCATGTAGTGGACTGGCGTCCTCTTCACCCTCGGTATCCGCATCTACGTGATGAGCATGCCGATTACCCGACTCCTCGTCCACCAAACGTGAGTGAGGATCAGCACCTTCGCCTGAACCACCTTCACGTAGTACTGACTGAGAATGGTTGCCGTCGTGGCCGTTGCTCGTGCTGTCCACGTGCGCCTCCACGATCCTGTCGGCGTACTCCTCGTTGGTGAAGTCCTCGGGCTTGCGCGTCCGCAGCGGCTGGTTGATGTTGAGCTCGCTCGGGATCTCCAGGCCGGGTGGGAGACCCAGTGCAGCGCCGTGACGGACGTGTCGAAGCCGTACGCGTTGCCGGTGCGCTTGGGCGCGCGAGCGCCTCTCCCCAGCCGGGGGGGCGCCACAGCACGTCGGGCGCGGCATCGATCTGGAGCACAACCCAGCGCTTCAGCCCCGCGTGGACGCCGCCATGGCAGAGCCCTCCGCCTCCGCGTGTGGAGGGAAAGGCGTAGCTGGAGGCCGCTGTTCCTGCAAAGGCCTGAGCGCGCGGCGGCCTTTGAAGATGACTATGACGATGATGACGATGATGATGATGCTGATGATGCTGATGCTGATGATGGTGATGATGACGATGTTGATGTTGATGATGATGGTGATGATTGTGAAGGTTGTGATGCTGATGGTGATGATGATGGTGGTTGTGATGCTAATGATGATGATGCCAATGGCAACGATGATGATGCTGCTGCTGCTGATGATGATGATGATGGTGGTGGTGACAACGACGACGACGATGACGATGACGTCGCCATCATCGTCATCGTCATCGTCATCGGACCCCTTCCTCGTGGTGGGAGCACGCGCCTCAGCCAGTGCGGCCGAGCGCCACTGTGCGAGCTGCCCGGGCCTTGCCCTGGGAGCAGGCCGCCCCACCCCCTTCGGCTGCCGAGCGCCCCCCCCCCCAGACTTCCGACGTCACGGTTTTTCCCGACGCGCGATCATCTTCGCGCCCTCGCGCTCTCGCTTTCCATGGCAAAACCATAGCGACCCAAGGAACCCAGGGCACCCTGGAGGCAAGCAGGGTGTTTCTTGGCATGGGTCTCCGCAATCACGCCGACAGACCACCTGTGAAATCACGTTTCGATAATCTTTCCATTCAAACGACAAGCTTTGTGACATTCAAGAAACAAGCTCCCGAGACGGGGGCGGCCGGAGCCGGCCGGACCGCCCGCGGGAGCCTGCTCCAGCAGCGCGGCCAGCTGGCCGCGGACCTCCGCGCGCCAGGCCTCCGCCTCGCGCTCGCGCGCGGGGGCGCGGTCCTCTCGGCCACGGTGGGCAGGCAGCCTGGGGGCCAGGCAGCCAGGGAGCCAGTATCCTCATGATCTTGCCCCCTTCCTCTTGCGAGCCCTCCCAGGAACATTCGGCTGAGACTCCATTCGTGGCACCTCTCGCGCACTTCGTGCTTCCTGGCCTCGCGTCTGCTTTCGGCTCGTTGCTAAGATGGCCGAGAGGATCTCTCGTTCGGCATATCTCTCGGTGCCCGACATGCCTCGAGAAGCTTCTGGCTGAGGCTCGGTTCGGCACACCACTCACGTACAGTCGGCCCGTATCCTCTTGGGCGCCCATGTCGAAGCTTCTCGAGCGGGGCGCGGCCTACGAGAGTGGCCAAGGATGGACCGATGAGGAATGCAAGGGTATCCTTGGGAAGGTTGCCCATCCTTGATCTGCGGGTTGAACGTACGGCGGAAACAGGGACGGCAAAGTGGGGCAGAAATCTACATCAAAGGAGCTTGAAGCGTAGGTAGAGGCCTCCTAGATGAGGTCCGAGTAGATGGGGTCGGAGGATGTCGCCGCATCGCCGATACATCGGCGATGCATCGCCGATGCGTCGGCGATGCATTGGCGATGCGCCGGCGGCGTCGGCGATGCGTCGGCGACGTCGGCGTGGAGAAAATTGGGCCCCACATCGAGCCGCATCGCCGATGCATTGGCGATGCGGCGCGATCCTCCGACCACATCTGCTCCGACCCCGTCCAGGAGGCCCAGAGCAGGGCGGAAAGTCCCCCCCCTCACGCAACCGCTCACACTACGGCGGGTCCGAAGCATGGGTTCTCCCTGCCCCACCGTGCTCCCCCGCCAGGCGGCCTCGCCGTCTCTCCGCGGCGAGCCCCTGGGGGGGGGAGCGAGAATGGGCGGGCCTTCTCAGAAGTCCTGGAAGCTCCCCGGCCGTTCCGAGAAGTGTTCCATGCCTTCCCCGAAGGCACAAAAAACCTCCCAGAAGGCCGGGTGCCTTCTGAGAAGCCCCGCCGCCTTCTGAGAAGGCCTTCTCCTTCTCACCTCCCTCCCTCGCGCGCCGCCGATTGACTGCCCCGATGCGCAACACGCAGCACGCAGCGTGCTGACACGGAGCTCAGCATGCAGACTGAAGGCGAAGGGCTTCAGCAGCGCGTGCCCCCAAACGCGGGCCAGCACGTGCCGAGCCCACACGCAGCGTGTTGACACGGACGTTTTTGAAGGGGCCCCAGGACACACAAATCAGTACACACAAATAACAATATTCCCCATACTTTCCCATATTTTCTGGGTTTTTGTCTTCCCCCCACTTCCCATACTTTCCCATATTTTCCTGGGGATCGGCGATTAATTGTGTCTGTGTGTGTTTTTTCCCTCCCGAGTTTTGCACACGGCACGTGTGGCGTTTCAGCTCGAGCGTATCGGGGCGGCTACCCAGACCCCCGACGTCATGATTTTTCATGCCGCGAACCCCAGAGGTCCGGACCCTGTCCCCAGGACCGGTTTTTCATCCCGAGTCGTGTTTTGACAGTCTCGAGGGCCGAAAAGGGCCCCGAGAGGCCCAACATTGAGAAAAACTTCCCGTCGTGATTTTTTTATGACCCGAGGGGGTCTGGGTAAGCTCTGGAGAGACCAGCGCAGAAGGCGCCAGCCATGTCCCCCGCCCCCCCCCCCCTCGCTGGGAACAGAAGCTGCGATGGGACGTTCTTGGCCGCGCTCGGCCTCTGGGGGGGCCCCGCTTGGGCCCCCGGGAGCGCCCCGACCCGGGAGGAGAAAACGCCCCCCCCCCCCTCCCCCCCCTCCCCCCCAGGAGAAAGCCTCCAGACCTCTGGGGGGGGCAGCGACAGGGGGGGACTGGCATGGGGGGGGACGCATCGACATGGAATCGGCGATACCTCGCCCATAGCTCGGCGATAAGCCCCCGATAGTGAATCCGCACCTGCCTGTGCAGGTTGGGGCTATCGGGCCCCTATCGGCGATCAATGGGCGATCGGGGGTCGATGCATCTCCCCCCTGTGCCTATCCCCCCCTATCGTTGCCCCCGACTCTGGGTGGCCTCCCTCTGAAGAGCAGCACGTCGGAGGGCCTTGGAGGCCAGCCCACAAAAAACCTTCCACACGAAACCCACCCGCCTGAGACCCCAGGACGTCCACTGATCTTTGGTGCGGGCACGTCACGCCTTTCTCAGCAAAACCGTCGAGACCCAAGAAACTCAGGGCACCCTGGAGGAAAGCAGGGTGTTTCTTGACATGGGCCCCCACTCTACTTTGGAGTCCCGAAACGGTGCGGTGACAGACAGTGCGGTGACCTCGAAATCCCCCAAGACCTCACCGCACGGTCCGTCAGCACACGGTTTGGGGATCCTGGAGGCTCCAATCGCCCGAGACATCCTCGGAGAACGGCCCGAGTCCCAGGACCGTGCGGTGACCCCCAACCCCCCACCGACTCGCCACACGGTGTGGCCACCACCCGCCACCCCGTTTGGGGGCCCCCCCAGGCTACGTCGATCCAGTGCCGAACCACTTCAAGGGGGCCTCGTGGCTGGTGTGCGTGCGCCCGCCCGCCGCGGCCAGGATTGAGTCGGGCCTGTGCCTCTACAGGAGGAATACTCAACCATAGTCGAAACAGAAAAGGGGGCAATTTTTTTCCAATATTTTTTGGATATTTGTGGGCTATTTGTTATTTTGATTTTTCGTCCAAAATCCACCTGCCAGGGGGACACGCCCGACCCAAGGCCAGGGCCAGGAGGGCGCGCCTGCACCGATCTCCTGGGCCCGGGAGGGGCCGGGCCCGGGGGTCGGCGTATGCGTGTGTGCAGTGCAGGTCGCCCGAGCGGTGGCCTCAGGCGCCTGTATGGGGAACGGGAGCGTTGGGTCGGGCATGTCCTCCCACAGACAGCCAAGCGAAGAGTCGAAGAATCGTCCCCAGATTATCTTTTGACTATTCTGGAGTGTTCCCCTCCTGTAGAGGGACACGCCCGACTTACATAAAGCACGACGTCAATATAAACTCTTCGCGCTCCGCGCGGATTTCTTGGATCCGCGCTGGGGCCCCCTTTCTGGCGCGCGGAGCGTGGCGGGGGCGGCGCCGGAGGCGCCGCCCGGGGGGGGGGGGCCCAGCGCGGATCCAAGAAATCCGCGCGGAGCGCGAAACAATCATGTTTAATTATGGCGTTTTTTCTTTTCGATTGTATAAGAGGGTCGAACATCCACCCCGATAATAACCACCCCGACACGCGAAGCCGTTAAGTAAACGCCCAGGGCCGTTTGGTAAACGCCGATTGTCAGGTCTGGGTGGGTTTTCCCTCCTTGACGTATGGGCCAGAAGTCGGGAGCGGCCAAGAGGGGGGTGTCCAAGAGGGGGGGGTGCAAATCATGACCGGCGGCATGTGCGCGGCCCAGCGGGGGGGCCAGGGACGCAATGAAACAAGAAGAGGCGCCATGAGATCTGGGGAGATATCATGGCCCACGCCATGAGATCCGCCCCCCCCTAGTCATCACCCCCCTCTTTTCCGCCCCCGAAGAAGGGAGCAACTCGAGGAGGAGGAGGAGGAGGAGGAGGAGGAGGAGGAGACGACGTAACCAATGGGACGGTTCGTCTGCCGACCTCGACCTCAGGCCAGCGCACGAGCGTCGGCCGAGGGAGAGCGTGGGCTCCCACTGGGTGGCGCTAGGGTCTTTTTCGACCTCCCGTGGGGTAGCCTACCCCGTTGCCACCTACGCCACCAGTGGAGCCCACAGAGACAGGCGAGCAGTCCAAGCGAGCAAGCGAAGAGCGAAACACTCTCGAGTCCCCCCACCCATGCCCCATCCCCGCCCCAGAGTTTGAGAGTGCACGCGGCGCGGTGCGAGAGAGCCCTCGATCGCACAGCATGCTACGTTATGCGAATGTGATCCCCACCCCCGAGCTATCCAATAAACTCCAGCCCCCCACCCCACAGGAGAAGAGAGCGCGGGACAGGGCAGCAGCAGGACGGGAGCAACTCACCGTACAAGTGCTTCTGCGGCTACGCGCAGCGGACTGTGAAGGATCCCCACCCCACACAAAACAAAAACCAAGTTCCCACCCCACCACAACAAAGAAACGCCGGCCCCACCCATATCAGGATGAGGGCGCGTGCTTATCTTTCGAGTGCCAGCTCGGCGGCACCTCGAATGTCGATGGCCTGCTGTAAAGTCATAGTTTGCGCTCTCGGCGCTTTGTGGTACATCTGGAAAGCGAGGGCTGTCGCCTTAAGGCACTCGGCTCGACTGAGCTCGGCGCCTTCGATCTGATAATCGCTCTCCTCCCCGAGGCCAAGGAGAGTGAGCGGGCTGGCTGGAAAGTGCCTGCGTGCCCATGCAGGATGGCAGGCGCAATGGTAATACAGTCTTGGACAGCTCAAATAGTGTGCGATCGCATCTGGGGCTGTGCACCCCCAAACGCAGCTGGTTGGGGGGTGCCCGATATGGAGCCTGTGGGTGGTCGTCCACGCGCCGCACAGCGTTTTGAAAATGCTCCACTGCCAGGATGGCTTGAGGGTCGCAAGGCAAGTCTTGCATGAGGCCCACCTCCCGACCACCGACCTCAGCCCCCCAGGAATCTCCACTTGCCAAGCGAGCAGCCTCTTGCCAAGAGTGATAGGAAAGGAGTCGGGAAAGGCGGATGGGCGGAGCGTGCGTGTAAATACCCTCTGCGGATGAGGGCGATGGGCTTCCTGCTCCGCGCGCTTGGTGTGCTCTCGCGCTGCTCGAAATGCAGCTTGCCACCCAGCTGCACTAGGGAAGCGGGGAGGCGGCAGCCTTGAACGTTCTAAGAATTGGGCGATTGAAAATGGCCGCCGCCAGCACGGCGCAGAGAACTTTCCTGCAATAATGCGAACGATGGTAGCGTTGTCCTGCGCATGCTGCTTCAGGCTGGACAACGCTCTCTGCCAAACATGATTCAGCGTGCGAAACGACGTTCGCCATGCACTAGCCCAGCCGAGCAGCTGCACAGAAGACGGGGCAATGGCTAAAAACGATGGGAGCGCATTCAGATCGGCGAGGCTGAGGCTGTTGGGCGGGAGCCTGAGCAGCTTGTGCAATGCCTGGTGCTCTAGCTTACGAATCATGGCAGGGATCGGAAAGAGCTGGGCAAGATATGACAGGGTCGAGAGGGCGGTCGTGTTGTACAACAATGACAGAACAGACGGCGCAGCCCCTGAGTGTGGTAGCGCAGCTGTACGCGTCCACCACTTCTCCGCTGCTGGGGCCCAAATCATACTGAGAATTGCCTCGGGACCCATTTCGACCCCAAGATAAGTCGTGTGGCCAGCGATTTTAAAATTGGCCCATTCAGGAATCAACCGACGGATCTCGTTTCGGACCATGTCCTGGACTACAGGCGTGCACTCGGTCCACAGGGGGACCAGGACGCATTTGGCTCCTTGAAGCCTGAGGCACGCTAAACGCTCGACGTCCTGAAAGACTTTGGCCACAGGGACGAGGTCCTGAAGGCGAGGCATCACCATCCCCACGTCGTCCGCACACCCACCCAAAGACCCCTTGTGGTGCCTCGCCCTCGGGAGCTGAGTCGCAGCATGTAGGCATCTAAGGATCGGATCCATTGCCAAAGCCCACAGCGAGCCTGACAAGGGGCAGCCCTGGAGAACTCCAGAGCAAAGATGAAATAAAAAGACGATTTGATTTTGGATCCGAGCGAAGCCTCTAGGGAGGAAGTAGAGGGCACGAATGAAATGGAGGAAGCCTGTCGGGAGCCCAGTCCTACTCAGGATCTCGAACAGCCACTGATGGCCAAGGGACGGGAAGGCCGCCTCCACATCGTAGGCGGCGAAGATCGGAAGGTCCTGGGCAGCCTCTGGGTTGATGCTCGCCTTACGGGCCTCGACATCCAGCATGACGATATTCGACAGGAAGTTACGGCCTGGGATGAAGCCTTGTTGGGACTCATGGGCGCTTTGTTGGGCCACCTGACGGATCTGAAAGTTAGCAGCAGAGGCCATTATCTTAGTGTCCGTGTTCCTGAGGCTAAGAGGGCGGACCTTTGCAGGTGACCGAACACATCCTTGGGCATCTTCGGGCTCCGAGCCTTTAGGGAGAAACGCGAAGAGGCTGTCGTTAAGCTCCATGGGGACTGCGTGGCCTCCGAACAGATAAGTCATGAGATTGTGTAGCACTGCTAATTGTTCTGGGCGAGCTTTCCAGGCCGTGTACGAAAGCTGGTCGGGTCCAGGGGCCGAACGTCGAGCACATCTGAGAGCACGTCCTAAATCACCTTCTGTAGGAAGTCTAAGAGGTAGAAGGGGACGCTGCGGGGCAACTCGGTCAAGATACTCCTGAAGGGGCTCCTCCTGGACTAGTTTCGCACCGAAGATGGGCTTCCAGTGGGAGGTCAGGGTGGCGGCGATCTTTTCGGGGTCCCGGGCTACTGGAGAGTGCTGAAGGCTCTCGGGCTTTATCCCCGCAAGGACGAGACGACGGGCCTTGGGGGCCCACAACGACGCTCGTCGCTTATGCATCCGCGCCGCTCGTCTCTCATCTTCAATCACCGCTCCCTCCCCCTTGGATGCTCTGCTTTCGGCAAGCCTGGCCTCCCTCTGCTGGTAGTCGAAGTTGATGGCACGCATCAGGGCGCCGAACTCTTGCCGCTCGCCGAGCTCGACGCAGCCGTTGGAGACGGCCAGGAAGCGCGCGCCGTCGGCCGTGGTGGCCATCAGCTTGTAGGCGGTGCCCACATCGTTGCGCCAGACACATCGCGAAATAGCTCGGAGCGTGATGAGGCGCCCCCCCTTGGCACGAGGGTCCTTGGCGGAGATCGGCATGCGCTGCAACTCATTGCGGACTTGGCGTGCCGCCTCAGACATGAAGTCCTTCATGCATCTCCACTGATAGACCGCTGGAAATCGATGTAGTTGTGCAGCATCAAGAAGCTGACCAAGAATTTCACCATAGCGAGGATCTCGAAATACGTGCTCAGGTATGCCCGTCTGCTCACTCTGGCGGGTTCGATCTCTAAGATGCAGGGTGATCGGTGTGTGGTCGCTGAGCCTGGAGTCCGAGATAGCGGCAGCATCAATATCCACCTCCGCGATCACCTCTACGTCGAGCAAGTAGTTCGCTGGGGTGGCAATGAAGAACCTATCCAGTGTAGCCGCCGTGGACGTATCTCTGCAGTAATGCGTGGGGCAGTCAGTGGAGATCTCCGTAACCATCGCAAAGAGTCTTTCCCAGAACGCTTGCAAAGGTTGAGTGCCTCGGGCTGTCTCAGCAGGCAGCGTTCCTGGCGAAAATGTCCGAGAAACAGGATCGGTGTAGCTACGCGTGGGACCTGATTTGACATTGAAATCTCCAGCAGCCACAAACGCTCTAGTAACAGGGCTCTCAATATTCCATTGGACCATTTCCTTCCAAGTGTGCGCAATCTTGGACTGGGCAACGATGTCCAACTCGAAGTTGTGTACGTTCATGATCTTCATCGTGAAGTTGTCAGCGGAGTTGTATATTGTGAGAAGGGCCACCCTTCCCGCGGCCAATATCTGATGGTCAAAGTGCACCTGAGGGTCCTCCTGATCACGATCTGCCAGCGGAACCAGGAATGCTGTGCCTCCCGCCTTCTGCGAGAGGTGATTGTAGAAGATCTTGTAAGGATATGGATAAGTAGCGAGGGCCGCCTGCAATTTAGGTAGTGTGCCACGGCATTCCTGCAATAAGATAACCGCTTTCTTACGCATGAACGAGACAAGCTTGTTCATCTTGGCTTTGCGGCGCCTTGAACGATAGCAAAGCAGACTCCTGGCATTCCACGATATGATGGTGCCATTGCGCATTGACGGTGATGTTGTCCAGGGCGACCACCTTCTGCTAAATAGACCACGTAGACGTATCCACGCTCGCGAATGCCTGTCCAAATGCTGCCACCAGAGGTTGTTTGTCCACCTTGAACCGCGCGAGGATTGGCATGTCCCAGCGTAGCTTGGACGGTTCATCAGGGCCCTTGACCTCGACAATGACGAGCGGCACGGCATCGATGGTGACAATGCCCTTGCTTCTCTGGGCTCCGATGTGGTGATCGTGGTAGGCGTCCTGAATGATGCGCTGCAAACGCTTAGTCTGAAGCTCGAGTCTGACCTGCTTGGGGCTCTTGTCTCCGCTAACATAGATGGGCGTGTTGACCCCGCCAGTGTCGAACCCGCTGAAGGTGCGGAAGCCAGCTGAAGTCTTGAGGGCACGAGATAGAGCGAGGGCTCGTCCATGCGCTGCTGCTCCACCTTGAACTTGCAAATGAAATCGTCGCTGAGGTACATCACCGTGAAGAACAAGCTGATCCACTGGAACACCCGATGCCTGAATCCACTCCGCGAGCGCTGCCTTGACGGCGGCTGGTGCAATCGCCCTGGGGGCGCCGATGCTGAAGACTGTGGGGTCTGGAGTGCGGTCCCATGTGGCGAGCTTCTGAACATCGCATGGGATGGCAGCCTCCGCCATTGCCAGCGTCTGTTCCATGGCGCTGATCTGTTGTCGCATCTTGGCCTGATCTGCTTCCACTTTGTCAGCTCGGGCCTGGAGCTCATGGATGCCCTTGTCATGTACTTCGAGGTGAGCGGCGTTTTGTTTGCTGACTGCCAAGAATTCTGCCACCTGCGCGGTGAAGGCCTGTTGCTGCTTTGCAATAAGAGCGTTCGCCGTCGCTGTGAGCTGTGCCGTCGCCGATGCAATCTGTTCTTTACCCAGTGTCGCCAGCCTTTGTTCGAGACTAGCCAGATCACCATGAGCAGGAGGGTCATCTTCAGCTCGTGGGGTAGGAAGTCCACCAACAGGCGTGCCCGCTGCAGGTAGTTCACCGTCAGGAAATGTAGGCAAGACCTCCATGTCGCGTAGCACTTGTTGTGCAGTTCGCGGTGAAAGTGGGAAGTGTTGCGGCTCATGAGGTCGAGCAGGTCCCCCACTAGCTCCAGCATGTCGCAAGGAACCCGCGGCTGCTTGCCAAGGGTCTCGTTCGGCAACCGTGTCCTTGCGTGCTGCCGAAGGTCCAGATCTCCGAGATGAGCGTCCACCTGAACCGTGCTCTCTGTCTTCCCGATCCTCCCTGCGATGCGCTCGGTCTGGCTCCCGATCCTTGTCGTCAGCCCCGCGGTCGTCTCCCCGATGGTCGCGGCGGTCTCGATGTCGGCGATGGCGGCGCTCTGAAGCACTGTTGTCGGGGCCGCTGCGGCTCTTGGAGTCACTGTCTTCCCGTCGACGATCACGGGTAGCTTGATGACGTCGGCGAGGTCCACGGGACGAGGAGGCACTGCTGCTTGACTCTCCCATGTCTTCTGCTGCGATGGGACTGATGCCAGTCTGCTGCCACTGAGCGGGTCCGACCTTATGCCAACGTGCCGTGAGGTCGTGGGTGCAGCTTGCTTCACGTACAGGAGCGGGGCGGGCGAGCACGCAACCTGCTGCTGCTGCACCACCAGAAAGAGCACGGCGTGCCCGACGCGCCACAGCGCAGAATATGGAATGCCCGCGGGCGCGGCCGCGCGGGACTTAGATATGGAGGGGCGTGGGCTGGCGCAGGGCCCGTGCAGTGGCGCCGAAGGCTGTTCGAAACTATGTGGGAGCCTACCCCGCGAAGGCGATGAAATGAACACCATTTTGGCCTTGAGCCAAAATGGCTACGGAAGGAGGAGGAGGAGGAGGAGGAGGAGGAGAAGGAGGAGGAGGAGGAGGGAGGAGGAGCACAGGCCGGAGCCACGGGGCAGGAGGAGTCGGGCGGCGGGGCCAGCGCAGTCCTTCGGGGAGCCCCCGCGCCGCTGCCGCGCAGGCCCTCCGCCTCCGCCGGCCTCCTCCGCCATGGTCTCCCGCCGTGCGTGCGACGAGCGAGGACGGCAGGGAGGTGACCGCGGGGCGATGCCGTCGACGGTCGCGATGGCGACGATGGCGAAGACGATGACGACGATGACCCGTGCGTGCGACGAGCCGTGCGCACGACGAGCGAGGACGGTAAGGAGGTGACCACGGGGCGAGGCTGGGCGCTTGCCTGCTCCGCTCCTGCCGGCGCGGAGCCCAGGGGCAGCGTGCGGCCTGAGCCACAGCGGCGACGAGCGGGGGCGGCGGGGAGGTGCCCGCGGGGCGAGGCCGGCGCTCCGCTGCCGCAAGCCTGCTGGCGTGCGGCCCTGGGCCAGCATGCGGCCCTGAGCCGCGCGGTGCGGCCACGTGCGAGGGGCGCTGCTCGTGGTGCTGGTGCCGCGGCACGGTGCGGATGCTGTGCGCGGGCGGCGTGCCGTGCCTTGCCAAGCCGTGACAAAAAGAGATCCGGGGCAGAGGAGGGGGAGGAGGAGGAGAAAAGGAGGCGGAGGAGGCGGAGGAGGAGGAGGAGGAGGGGTGGGGTGGGGTGGTCACTGCGTAAGGGAAACAAGTCCCGATCACAGCAACACGCACCACGACCACGACGACGCAGACGACAACGACGACGACGACGACGGAGACGAGGCGCGCAGACGATCTGCACCGAAACACGGATTTGGGAAAGGGCCCGCCCTGCAGCGGTTAAACAGCACGTCGTTGAGCGGTGCTGCAGTCTCCCTTGAGCACAAGCCCCCCCCCAGAGCATCAGCCAGACAAGTCGGGTTTGCACCCTCATGTCTTGCTGGACTCTGGGAGCGTTTCGGCACCCTCTCCCCCAACCTAGTCAGGGCCTCTGGCAAGGGAGAGGGCGGCGGTGGCCGACGCGTCCCGGAGCTAAGAAGCTCAAAGCGCCGCGGCTCAGAGAGCCGGGAAGACAGACAGACAGACAGACAGACAGACAGACAGACAGACAGACAGACAGACAGACAGACAGACAGACAGACAGACAGACAGACAGACAGACAGACGAACGGATAAACGGACAGCCCGGCGCCGCGCAATGCCTGGCAATCCAAGTGGGTGGTCACTGCACAAGTGAAACAAGTCCCGAGCAGAGCAACGCGCACCACGACCACGACGACGCCGATGACGCCGACGCCGACGACGGAGACGAGGCGCGCAGACGATCCGCACCGAAGCACGGATCTGGGAAAGGGCCCACCTAGCAGGTTCGGTTAAACAACACATCGTTGAGCGGTGCTGCAGCCCCCCGGAGCACAGCCCCCCCCAGAGCATCAGCCAGACAAATCGGGTTTGCACCCTCATGTCTTGCTGGACTCTGGGCGCGTTTCGGCACCCTCTCCCCCAACCTCGTCAGGGCCACCGATAAGGGAGAGGGCGACGGTGGCCGACGCGTCCCTGAGCTAAGAGGCTCGAAGCACCGCGGCTCAGAGAGCCGGGAAAACAGACAGTCAGACGAACGAACAAACGGACAGCTAGGCGGCGTGCAGTGCCTGACGGACACACGGACAGACAAACGGATGCCAGAACAGACAGGAGGAGGATGAGGAGGAGGAGGAGGAGGAGGAGGAAGAGGAGGAGGAAGAGGAGGAGGTGGAGGAGGAGGAGGTGGAGGGAGGAGGAGGAGGAGGAGGGCGGAGGAGGAGGAGGAGGGAGGAGGGAGGAGGAGGGAGGAGGAGGGAGGAGGAGGAGGAGGGAGGAGGAGGGGGAGGAGGAGGAGGAGGAGGAGGAGGAGGAGCAGGCTGCATGAGTGAAGGGGCCCCAGGACACACACATAAATACACACAAATAAAATGATTCCCCATATTTTCCCGTATTTTCTGGATTTTTGTCTTCCCGCCCAATTCCCATATTTTCCCTATTTTCCTGGCACTCGACGATTAATTGTGTCTGTGTGTTTCTTCCCCTCCTGAATGAGAACATTTGGGGGGGGCGTGAGTGGTGTGGCTGGCCAATGCCGCAGGAAGCCGAGCACAGCACGGCACCGGCTCGGCGCGCGGGCACGGCACAACACGCTCTGCAACATTCCTAAGACTCAGGCACGGCACGGCCCGGCTCGAGGGCTCAGCACGGCAGCTTTCTGGCCTTGCAGCTCCTGGCAAACAGGCACGGTTTCCGCACGCTGGAACGTAGCCACAGCACGGCAGGCGGGCAAGGCAAGGCATGATGCGGCATGGCACGCTGCTCGCACTCAAGAGCCTGCATGCACGGCGCAGCACACTCGCCGCATTCTAGCGCCCGCGTGCTGCACGGGACGCGGGCACCTCGCGGCAGAGTGCGGCACGCTCTTCGCAGTCTGGGCCCTGGGCACGGCACACCACGGCACGGCACGCGGACATGCCACGACACAGCCGGGGGGGGGGGGCACGGCACGGCATGTGTGTGGCATCCCAGGTCCTGAACACCACACGGCACGCCACGCAGGCACGCAGGCACGGCACACTTCTCGCCCGCTGGGGCCCCTGAGCGCTGCACGGCCAGGCCCACGGGCACGCCTTGGCGCGGCCCATGCCACTCTGGCACCCGGGCACGCCGAGGCACGCTCTGCCGCATGCCAGAGGGTGGACGCGGCATGGCACGCGGTGCGGCACGACGCGGAGCACCTGCCGCACTCTAGAACCTGGGGGCGCGGCACGCGGCCACGGCACGGCACAATGTCGGCAGTCCGAAATTCAGGCACGGCACGGCACGGCACGCGGGCATGGCACGGCGCGGCACGCTGGCGGCACATGTTTCGCGTTCTGGTGTCAAGACCTGTGTCTCGAAAATGGACGTCAGGCGCCAAACTGCATTCCACTGGGCCCTGGCAAAATGGAAAAACAACTGGTTCGGGAAGATATCATTTGCTTTTGAGTGTTAGCTGTGACCAAAAGAATCAAACGTTAAATTTTTGGTTTCAAGGTATAACAGCTCAGTTTTTCTTCCGCGGACTAACTTTTACTTTAACGTTTCAAAACACCTGCGCCGTATGTGCCGCCCCATGGGGCCGCGGGGTGTGCCGAGACGTGTGCGGGGCGGCATGCACCGAGGTCCACGCGGGGCTGTCCTTCTCTTATTCCGTCGAATCTCCCTCGTCCACGCCCTCGCGCATGTATCTTCTCAAATGTTGCCCCCCCGCGCAGCCCCCAGACCGCGCTCGCGCGCGCCCGACGCCATGCCGCTGCAGGCCGCCCTTTAGGTGCGCTGCAAGCGGAGTCGGGCGCGCGCGGACGTGACCGCGGCGAACCACGAGGCGGTCGTCCATTCCCTCTGCGAGGAGCTGAGGGGTGGAGTGGGGTGGGGTGGGGGGGGGGGGCGCGCGGAAATGTCTGGTATCCAACTGTGTATCATGCCAACTTGTCTCATCCCATTACTGTTCCCATCCTGTGCCTATTGTATTTCGCCCACTGTTCTCTGCTATCTTTCTCCGCCCTCCTCCCTCTCTCTCCTCGCCACCTCCCGCCCCCCAGGACCCCGGCGCGAAGAGCCTCTGGCACGCGATCGGGCCCCGTGTCTGTGTCTTGGCGCTCGCTATCGCTGATCTCATCGTATCGTTAGTCTTTTTTTTGTAGTGGCGTAAACTTCCACGTGCTATATCTTGATTTCGCTGTGTTGCCTTTCGCGCGTGTCGATGATGACGATGATGATGACGATGACGATGAGGACGTCATCGTCATCATCGTCGTCATCGTCATCGTCATCGTATACTGTGCTGTATGCCATGGAAGGCACACACGGCCGCGCGGCTCGCGCCCCTCCTTCCTATTCCGGCCGCTCCACGCCCCCCCCTATCTCGCAGCATGTTTTCCTTCCGCCTCCGTCTGCCGCTCTTGGTCTACTGAGTAGCTTCGCTGCCAATGTGAAGGGGCCCTGGGGCACGCAAATAAATAGACACAAGTCAAGGGATTTCCTATGTTTTCCAACATTTTCTGGGTTTCTGTCTTCCCCCCCGCTTCCCATATTTTCCCATCTTGTCTGAGGAATCGACGATTAATTGTGTCTGTGTTTTTCCCCTCCCGACAGTGACGCCCGCCATAGCGTGACTCCAAGACGGCCCCTGGCAGGGTGCCCACGGCCCGCTGCAGCAAGTTGGCCCTGGAGCTGGCCGCGCTGCAGCCGAACACGGTGATTAACCAGGTCGGGCTGAGGAAGGCGATCTTCAAGATCACCACGAGAAAGGAGGAGGACTTCGATCGATGCATACACACATATACAAATACATATATATATATGCATTCACATGCTACTTTTGTTTATATCTTCAACTTCTGTTTGCGCACTTGCTGATCGCTCGCTGCCACGCCCGCCGCGTGCGCGGAGGGATGGGGATGAAAGCGGGCTGGGGCACGAAAGCATCCACGGCAGTTTTTCGACGACGACGACGAGGAGTGACGGAAGACGGCGACTGGCAACTACGCCGAGCGACGACAGCCAGAACTGACCAATGATGTGGTCAGCGCGCAGCCCTTCGCAAGGTGGGCGAGGGCGACGGACGACGGCGGCGACGACGAACACGCCGGGCGACGACGACGACGCCGCCGGCGGCGGCGTCGGCGACACCAAAACGCACTCCCCAGGACAAGCTCAATTTCACAGAGATGACGGACGAGTATTTCTC